GGGGGTTACCTGTATATGTTTTTTTTCCCAGGTGTTATAGAATATAATATTGGGAAAGTATGGCAATCAGTTGAATTTTGACTTTCCATCCCAATTTTTTGTGTTTCTCAACATTTCAATGAGCCCAAAAATGCAAAACACTCCTTACAAAATTTTACATGGGTGTCAGTATCTATTTTGCATCGTATCTTGGAACCGGATAAATGAAAAGTTTTGAAACTCGGCAGATTTATTTCTGTACATGGGGTACAGGTGCTATTAAATTTAGGTGTTGGAGAGGTAGAAGCAGGTCATACATATCTCAAATGGTATAATACAGTATCACTTCATGCCAATGTTTATTATATGATTATAACACTTACGTGGTGTGGTGTTACAGTTCATTCTTCAAGTCTCCACTCCAGTAACGCCACAACATGCAAGTGTTATAATCATATTTCAAGTGGTGTCGGACTTAATAAAACTTCTTATTATTATGTTTACAATTTAAAAACTTACTCCTCTTCCCAAGAATAAGCCCTTTTGCCTTTCTATAATGATTGGTACTACAAAAATGCTTTTTTTTATTATTATTTTATAATATCTTGTAACAGATGGCGTGAATAGCTTTGTGAATTATCACTGGCAGGGAAGACTTGCAAATGGACTTTGCCAGCTTTCCTATTAACTTTCTCCACCTTCAAACGTTATGTCATACACATTACAAATTTAAGCAAATTCACAATAAGAAGAGAGAAATTTCAACATATCTGGTCATACAATCTCCGATATATCTGAGATTTTGACTTCGGTTTAAATTCAGAAGTGACAGACTACGGTCTTTATTCATCAGCCATTCGACTGTACAATTGATTTAGTAGAGGCTCTCCTTCTAACTGTCTTGCATCTCTTGGCAATACTCCTCTCTTCCGCATCATTTTTATAATAATTCTTTATATAAATAGTACTAGATTTTTGTATATTGATTAAAACACTGTAATAAATACCATCATAACAAAATAAGTAGTTAGACAAAAGAAAATATTGCAGTTTAAAATGTGAACGATAAATTTACTTAGGGTTTTTGAAACATGTAGAGAACGTGGCGTGGGCATTTTGGTGTTTTGCAAGATGTGGACAGTTGAAATTTCACCTGTCGCAATGACAACATTATTATATAGTGTGTGATCAAATGGGAATGTTTATGCTTAAATTTGAGTCGTTTAACAATTTAATGGAAACAAAAGGAAAACAGCAGCCCCTCCAATGGGTTGCTGTTTAATTTCAATTTTTTTTCCCTGTGAAATTAAACATTCTTTAAACCTGTTTGCTTGTGTCTTAAAGCACCAATATGACATCATCTGTTAACATTAACATTAAAAGATTCTCTGTATTCTGCAGTGATCCATTATTAATAGTTTCTTGGCAAAAGAACATAGAGGCTCTTAGGCCATTTCGTACATGATTAATGACTTCTGTAAACATTAATTATCTATTTATGGTCAATTACTTTTTTAAATCTTACAAAATCTTAATTTTGACAAACCTCTCTTGTTGTGTTTTCTCCATTAATAACAGAAACATTCTTTGCTCATAATACATCAACCTTCAGAAGTTACAATGAAAACAAGTGGCTTAAAAATATGCAATTCTATGTACCAGAAGAAGCTTTCGGTATTAATTCCTCTCTCCTACTGTCTAGTAGCAATCCGATCCCGTTGCAATCTAGTTGGACATTCATAGTGACAACAAAACATAATTTATTTCTTTTATTAAATAATCTTTATGTAATTGACATTCAGATAATTGATATTCTTTTACATATAAACATCGCTAAACCCGATGTAATATAGCTAATCATCCGGAGGTCTGGGTCCGGGTAGCGTAACTGGCAACGCATCTGCATGGTAAGCAGGAGTTGTGGGTTTAATTTAGAACAGCTGGGAGAAAAAATCGGCCTGCTCCGGGCCGATTTTTTCTCCCAGCGGTTCTAAATTATTTAAATTAATTAATTTATTTATAATTATTAATATTAATAAGAGATGGCGCCTAACGCTTACCTCTAGTGCCAAATTAATTACGTAATTTATTTAGTAATTAGCCTTAAAACTAGCCCGATGGATTTACGGCATATGTTTGATGATTAGATATTCTTTTACTTTTTTTCTTGACATTTTTACTCAGGAAACAAGGCTAATTATTTTTGTTTTGCACGTGTTATTACATGCACTTGTTTTTAATTGTTTTTAACCCCATTTCGTGACAAATTTATGCATCATTTGGCTCTTCAAGTTTGGGACGGGAAGTTATAGCATACAAGATTTTGATGCGGATTTTGGCTATCTTCTGAATGGATTTTCTTGTTTTGGATTTGTAACAATGCCTGACTGTCACTGGGGCTACTAAAGTTATCCACAGTCTTTTCACGTAAAATTGGCATGCAAAATATTGTGACTCTTATACTGCATTCGCACACAATCCATGGCTCACTTTGATCTCGATTTACCCATAATCTCAGTTGTAACTGTTGTTAGTCGAACGTCGAGCTGTTCGCACAGGCAGTCCGCTTGAGAAGTACCCGGCTATTGCCTGCAATGATAAAACTGACATAATTACGCAATAAGTCACGAACACCAACAAATAAAATGAAAGTTTTGATTAGAAATAAATCCTTTCTCTTGCCATATATTTAATAATAGCCAGATTGCATCATCTCTCCAAGTATCTTTTTTTATTTTTCTGTTAATAGCCTGACGTGTTCTGCAGGCATCTTGTATTTTCTTGCATGCGTGGGATTGTGGGAACTCTTTTATGACTGGATCTCGTTTCAGGAACTCTTGAGTCGATTGTGATTGAACCTCATTTCAGTCGAGATTGAAATGATCAAGAGAGGTCGTACCACGGCACCGTAGCCAACCTCGATCACAATCTAGATTGAAATGCTCAGTGCAAACAGAGTATTACACTCTCCTGTGACTGCTTTGCTGGTTTACCATTCATATGCAGTAAGTTGTTAAATCTAATGTCAGAATCACTTACCAATTTTTTGCTTTGGGATTCATTCATCAAAGTTTAATGTTACTTTAAGTAATTGCTTTAAACTAGTCCATCATTTTTACCATCGTTATCATCATCACTGTAAAGTGGGTTTTCACCTTTTACAGTAACAAATTTAAAATGCAGCATGAAAAAATGGCATTAACTTGAAAAGGGAATGATTAAGAGAAATCTTACAAACTTGGGTATATTTTTTTCCCTTTCTTTTACGACGACGACGATACATCAGATGGCCAAGATAGTTAAGGCATCAGTCTACTTCTCTAGAGTCCCGGGACTGAATCCAGAGGAGCAACTCCAGAAGTTTTTGTAGGCAGTCTGTTCTAGATATGTCGGGAATTGTCTCTCGCTACTCTGTTGCTCCCATTGTGGGCCCAGCTGAACCCACAGCTCGCTCAAAAAAGGATTATTAGGGATGTCAACTTTTCATGACGGAAAAGGAGCAAGCTAAAAAAGACACATACAACTCTTTGTCTATTTTTCTGTCCATTAGTGAGTTAGCAGACAGACCCACTGAATGCAGTCGATCATTATTTGAGCCCAACCAATGGGCTAGCCACGTGAACTGATTTTATAGTAATACTCCCTCAGCAGATCACACATATGTTGCATTTCTCTATTTGACCAAACCAAACCTTGTTCATTTCTTAAAATATTTTTAAGCAATATATGAAGTCAAACTTATGCATACTTTAGTTATTATGAATTGTGTAAATGCAGAGGGGTCCAAAAAGATCTCGTTAAAATAAAATAGTGTAATTTTTGTTGCCAATTTTGTACTTAAAAGTTATCCTTACTTAGAAAATAATACACTGTTAATGTATAAATATTGTGATTAAAACTACATCTCTAAGACTGTGCATAGACTTACGGCAACTGCTTTATCTCATCAGTATCCTTGCCTTATTTTAAGTACGTATCATTGTATTTTAAATATTTAGCTATGGCCAAATGATATACTGGATTATATCGGGCTATAATACGGCTACTGCTAATAACTAAATATTTGATAAATTTACCTAGAGGAGGAATTAGGTTCTATTTTGCTTTAAATTTTGAGGCATTAGATGTGAAGAGACAGCACCTAAGGCTTATAATCCAGCAATCATTTGGCCTTAATGAAAAATTCGGTTAATAGATGTTTATACAGTCGACCCCCCTATAAGACAGTAGATACGTTCCATTCTTTAGGAATCCGATTTCTTACGAGTCCTTCCAATCACAGCCCGACACGTGTGAAGTTTACGGACTACGGCTGTTTTTGAAAGGTTTTCTTCCATAAAATTAATCGATTCTAGACTAATCCGACTCAACATTTTCAAAATACATATATTTTTTTTGGAAATAATCCGTATATACTATGCTATAAACAAAAAATTGTAGGATTACTTACCAAGTGTGCACCATTTGACATCGCCGTTGCTCAAGCTTGTTTTCGTCGCAGAACAGCACAGCAAACCGCGGCCGCGATTTCTGATGTTATTTTTCTGCGAAAACTTCGTTGAACTTTGGAGACATCATTAATATAAATAATTTTAATCGCCGTTGAATAAGAAATGTTTCTTTTACAAGAATTGTATAAAATTACAGTACTGTATTAGACTTACGGTACCTAATTTACATACTGTACAGACAATAGTAAACAACTTACTCGCCTAAACTCTCCGTAGTGTGGCGCTAGACGGCGGAAAGTATATATATAATTATAATAAAGTTACAATAAATTAAGTTAATATATAATTATATATACAATACCTAATTTATATATAATTAATATATAATACTGTACAGACGATAGTAATCTCTTTGTAGCATGGCGCTTGACGGTGCGGAAAGTAGTTTGGCTACCCGATGACATTTTACGTAATTATAGGAGTTTTTTACCATTTTTTATGGATACCGTCACAATTTTTTTGCTGTCTTATAGGAATCGTAATTATAGAAACCCGTTTTATAGGGGGTCTACTGTATTTGTATTTCACTGTGTTTGCTTCCTGATAACTGTACAAAATGTTGTTTTGGAACTCGAAATCAATAAATCAGGCTGCAACCAGCCCTGAATGGTGTGAAGTTTGGATGCAATCTGTTAAAGACTTTCTTCTTACTCAGTGACACACTTTATAGATAAAGATATAAGCAAAGATGAATGTAACTCCTATTGTTCCAGACTTTCAAGAAACCTTTATACATAGAGCACAATAAAAATGTTGGATAATCTATACAATGTATACTCTTAAAACTTCATCACAATATAGGACTTTTATTTATGCTAAAAACAAAAGAAAACAATGGTTTGAAAGAAAGTGTATGCGGCATAAAAATCATGAAATACGTTCTCGAACTGTTGATAGCCAAGCATGTGCCTACTGCTCTAAAGTTTAACACTTTGAATCTGAGTAATATCCTTGGGTATTTTCGTCAATGATTTAGCTGGTTATGTTCGGTTCCGTCACTCGCTGCTTGGCTACTCTAATGTAGGTCTTTTAGCCAGTTACGTCGGGTTTCATCCTTTACTGTTCGGCTGCCCTATTGTAAAGCTGGCCAAACCTGTCGTGCACCTATAATAAAAGCTCTCTTATTTTTCGAAATTTATCAAAACCATTAAAATTTGATTTTGATACAATACGGCTTATGTATTTCATTTCTTTCATGCAATTAATAAACCAATTCTTTGAATTTAAAGCTATTAATTTTATGTTCGTATTATGTTAAATTTTTTAAATATCATTAATGTGACTGTTTACTGCGTGGCAGACTTTGTTTTTAATCAAGTTTTAAACTTATTAGGTTTATTTTTAATATAATTTTAAGCACAAATCACTTGTTTATTTGATACAGGATGGCCGATCGGAATCATATTTGAGAAGACGAGTAATTTTGCCGTGACATATGAGGTTAATTTATCTTTATATCTTAATCTACGCATCTAATCTACTTAATTTGTCTTTATATCAACAATCTATTTACCATTTCATTTAGGAAAATCGCTGAAGTATCAAAGCAGACGATTAATATTTTTTAACTCAGTTTGTTAACGTCGCATACCTCGATTCTGTTGAATCCTAGTGGATCTCGATTTGGAGAGAAATCAAATGATGCGACTACTTTGTAACAAAAGTTAATTAATTACAAAAAATTTTTACATTTCCATTCACATTTTTAAAGAAAATATTCATTATTTTCTAATGCTTTTGCAATTAAAAATACTTTTTTAAGATTTGTTACTTGTATAATTTGCGGGAAGTTTTATTCAGAAGTAACAAATTCTCTTGGACTCCACGCTGTTGGGATGTCATTATATAAAAGCCCAACAATAGATTCTAAACATTCAAAAAGCATTTAATAAATGATGATATTGTCAATGTAAGAGAATAAAGTTTTTTGAACAGAACAGTGTTGAACAAACACTTCAAAAGACAGTGAAAACTCACTGTAATGTATGTATGTTTGTCTTGTTTAAAAGGATTTTTTAAGCAGCAATCTAGATGTAAATACCATGTTTTATTAGAACATAAGACTCTGTTGAATTTAAGATGTGCCATAATTTCTACATGCATCCCCATAATTTTCTTCCTTGTCTATTTTTATCCAAAAGAACTCGAAAAATTTATGTTGATGGTACTGATTCTTTGCAAAGGGAAGAAGTCAGAAACTTCTTCCTTTTGTATTAGGTTTTTTCCAAATACACACCCATTCGTCTTTCCGTGTGCAGTCATTTGAAATGTCAGAAATGCATTTTTCAGAAGGGTGCTGCCCACCAGTGGCAGAGCGGTCTTCATACTCTGAACACTGGGATACGGGGGTTCGCGCGTTGCTCGGATAGGCTGACCATTTGGAGTTTTCTGGGTTTTATCCACGTCTGTAACGCCTAAATAGATGCCAGTTTCTTTTAAAAAGACATCCCGGAAGGCATTCCCCTAGGCAAATCGCCCAAGTGTTGCGTTGCCATAACTTAAGAAACAAACAGAAGGGTGCTGCTTGACTTTTTCTGAGATTTTCATCTAAGTACGTGCAATGCTGCTGTAATTGACTAATGAAACTAACAAGGAGAGGGCCAGACGTTCGGGTTTCCGATTTGAAAGAATCTTGGTGAGCACATAGCCCTAAACACAGACAACTCTTTGTTCAAATAATAGGACCCGCTTCTTAAGCTTTTCTGAAAAACAGGATTCTGAAAATTGAGTATTAAGCTTATATGTCTTTAGAAGTTTTACTTGTTCTTACTTCTTACTTGTTGTTACTTGTACTTTAGAAGTTCTCTGTAATGGTGATAACCAAGTGGATAAGATGTTAGGCCCTGGAGCTACATGATGTAGGTTTGAGCTTTCGGAATTTCAGTTTAAATCATTAAAATGATGAAATGGAATTGGTGACAGAGAATGAGATCATAGCATTACAGATTGCTAATTATAACATTTTATGGAAGTGATCAAATCTTTTCATGATAAGAGTCACACACTGCATATCAGAAATTTGTGAGAATCATTCTATATTGAATTATATTTTATATATACCCTATATACTGTATATATATAGAGGAATAACCCCAAAGTCAGATCCCTACTCCTAAATACAGTAGAGCATCGATTATCTGAATGTCAATCAACCGAAATGTCAATTAACCGAAAGCTTTTCAGTCGGCAAATTTAAACTTCTGCTAGTGCTGTAGTGCTGCAATCTTTGTCTATGTCTTTTGCTACTCCAATATTATTTTTGTTGGTGTGCGTGTTTTAGCTGTCAGCACTGGCGCGACCACGAGAGGATACTTAAGGACGTGCCAGGATTTGAACGAATTTCAACATGGGATAGGTTAGTATATGTTTTTGTACATAATCGATTTTCTGTACAACCCCAGTCCCCAATTGATTCGGATAATTGATGCTCTACTGTAATAATAATAATAATAATGGGTGGGGGACAGATATACAGGAGCCACAGCAGTGGTGAACATAACTGGCACCCCCCTCCAGAAAGAAATCTTGTTTGTTTTGGAGACCATTTGGCGCCCCTCTGCGAGTGGCGTTCGGGGCATGGTAGACACCCTTGTTTCCCCCTCGCTACGCTAGTGAGCCACAGTAAGGGTGTAGAAAAGCTGTGTGGGGCTTGTGAGCTGCAGTTTGTGGTCATATTACATCAAATCTAAGAGGCGCCCTATTTTCTGAGATACACTAAAACTGAAAGAGGCGAGTCTTACATTTAAGTGAATACAATAAAAACTTTTAAAAATGTTAAAAGTTATACAATTTGGCAATGTACATTTAAAAAGCAACACAAAGACCAGAAATATCATTCTTAAATCATTCAAATGTGTTTAAATGTTACAAAAAGTTCATTTTATTCTGGGTGTTTCTTGAAATAAACCTTTTAATAAATGTGAATGTTCTTGCATTACAATGAATTTTATTATATTTTGTATGTTCTGTCAACAACCGCCTGTTTAAAACTTTACTAAATATCTATTAAATGTAAAAAACTGACCAGTGATTTATGCTTATGCAGGGCTGTGGAGTCGGAGTCGTGGAGTTTTGATGTTTTAGCTGGAGTCGGAGTCGGAGTTGAAGTCGGTAGATTTTTACGCGACTTCCACAGCCCTGGCAGGGCTGTTGAGTCAGAGTCGTGGAGTTTTGGTGTTTTAGTTGGAGTCGGATGATAAGGAAAAGTCGGAGTCGGAGTTGGTAGATTTTTACGCAACTCCACAGCCCTGTGCTTATGTAATACTAGCAGAACTAACCTAATGTTGCTTCGGAAAATTTCATATTATATCCTTGGTAGTATAGGTTATATGAAAATTATATATATAGTATATAGGAAAATTAGGTTGTATTTGCTCATACACTTTCGAGTGTGTAAAGAACATACAAATTAGCTTACATCTTTACATTAACTTACACTCTAGTTGTAAAGTCAAAGTAATTTTCAGAAATTCCATTTGCTACTGATACTTAGGGACCTTTTTCCAGAGAAAACTTTTGATCTGATGTTTAGTCCAGTAATAAATTCAGTTATATTAACAACTAGCTGTTACCCGCGACTTTGCACGTGCGGATTTTGCAAGCAAACCCCATTTATATTCAGTATTTCAACAACCATAGTAATTGTTATATAACACCTTCTGCTGAGAATGACGAGAATTGCCGAGAATCAAACAAGCTGTTTTCAATTTGATCAATTTTCTGGAACGTTTACAATTGTTCTATAATCGAACCAATATGCAATAACAAATTCGAATTTAAAACGGTTTGAGCATTTGGTTAAAAAATCTAAATATATAAAAATATTTATAACAATGTCTGAAATGTTATCAATTTAATACACCTAATTACTCAATGAAGATTAAACGTTGTTGAAAACAAAAAATTGCATCTAAAATAGTACGGTAGAAACTGTTCTTTAGGTTAGGCCTTAATGCCCTCCCTCTCCCCCATGGGGGAATTTCGAAAAATCTCTTCTTAGTGTGCGTTTTCATGACGTACCCTAACTGTGTACCAAATTTCACTTCTTTAGGTTCAGCAGTTTGCTCTGGGCAATGATGAATTAGTCAGTCAGGACACGTAATTTTATATATTTAGATGTAAACCTTGCACTCTTTATAAACTATGTTTTAAGTTTTATTTATTCTTTAGTCAATTTTTGGGATTGTTTGTCTCGAATTATCCACTTTCCAGTTGCAAAAAAAGAATCTATGTAGTGGTAATATAATGATGATAATAATTAGTTAAAAGATACACACACATTCTAGAAAATGGACTATCTCCAGATTATTTTTCTGGAATTCTAAATGAAATATATTGCTGCTGTTATAAGGGATACATCGCAAGTAGTAGGACAACGTTAAAGTGTTGTGATGTTACGAGTGTTGGTTTTATTGCGAAAGCAAGGTTTTTATTCATGTAAATTAGATATCAAGTAGTTCATCTTTGGACATCAATGCACGCTTGAAACTGTCTGAACGTTCTACAGTCGACCCCCTATAACACTGTCGATTATTTTGTTTTATATGAATTCCATGTTGTACGAGTCATTTAGATTTTACAAATACGTGAGCCGTTTACAGCCCGGAACATGAATTTGTAAAATCTAAGTGACTCGTACAACATGGAATTCATATAAAACGGAATAATCAACAGTGTTATAGGGGGGTCGACTACAATGCTTTGTTGTCCTATTACTACTGATGTGTATCCTCCATATAAGTTCTACATATTATTATTATTTTTTTTTGTATTGTAATTTTTAGATAATTATTTCATTTTTGTTCTTCTCATATCTATTTGTATATTTTACTGTAACTTATTGTGACAGAAGCCATATATTGTTTATTAGAAATATGAGAGATGCATTTTCTTATAAAGCACTGGTTTGGCCACAATATATAATGCAGTAATGGTCTAGAAGTGATGCATGTGTCTCACAATCAGCAGTTCAGCCCTTGGGGTACATAATTTAGAATCTTTTCTTGCAGCTTGTATTATGATCCATTGCTAAGGTACTACAGAATTGAGCTGTGGGCCTTTATTGCTTCACGCTATGAGAGGAATTTCTGTCCAAAAATTAATATTACTTGACATTTTATTATAGATGTTTTCGAACTTTGATTTGCTTGAAAATAAATTTTATATAAACTTTGTTTCTATATGTCTTTTAATGTAATTATTCAAGCATTTTTTAATGTCTTTTATTTAAACTTATTTTCCAATTCAAAGAGAGGTAGAGGAACACAATAATCTCTAATTGCGATGCAAAAAATATTGTTTTTAATCTGAACATTGCCATTATTAGAAAAACTGTTGAACGTAAGTTAAAAAAGAACAAAATAGTCAATAGAAGTTTTAAACGTTGAACAAACACACACACGTTGATGATGTAAAAAGTATTTAACAAACTGAATACTTTGGTCGTGCCTTTATGTAAACGAACCTAATCATTTATGAAAATTAGAGCGTTAATCATACTTCAAACGTATTCAAATCTAATTTTCCTGTAATTCAATCTTTGAATTTTCCTGAATTGTAAATGGAGTTAATGTGTCCTTCTTGTCGCCTAAATTGATTCCATGATTGTAAAGCATCCGAGGGGGGTTTTACGTAAGAGGCAAAACATTAGTTAGATCAATTAATGTAATCAATTTATTCCTTAAACAGATTTATTTCTAATTATACTAACTTCGAGAATGCGTGTAATAAAAGCAAGCGAAAATTCTAACTACTCGAGTCTTCAAAATAGTATAGTATCTGCATATTATAAACGATTTAAAGAACTAGATGCATCATTTTCTTGTGCGTTAGACTGTAGTTACCTCAGTGTGATGACTATTAAACTAAAAATTTATTTTGCTTCGTAAAATTATTGTTCAAAAGAAGGCAAATGGCAATCGTCCCTCCCAGCCTTTCTCCGTAGGTGGTATTGCTGTATTTTCGGTACCCATGAGTTGGGAAATCCTGTGTATTAAGCCACCCGTGTTCTCCGTGCCCTATTCTTTTTGTCGGGAGTAAAATGCCACTTGCACGCTTGATTATCAACATTGTCTGAAAGACAAAAGCATTTTGAATACATTCGTTACTCACAATGGCACCAAATTCCTTCATCGAATAATGCATCGATCTTCTTACCCAGGTATCCCATACAAAAAACCTTCTATTTACAACTCTGATCTGTGTTTTAATAGGTAAGCTGATTAGTAATGAAGGCTTTCTTTTGTACAAGTTCGTAGATAAAATTCTCCTGCATCACAACTTTCTTTAATCATTGAAATATTGGCTGAAAGTGTACAAATTGTAGAAAACTTTATTACTAAAATAATAAATTATCTTAATGTTTGAATCCATTTGAACAAATTAAATGCCATTATTCATGCTTACTGTTCATTAATTATCTTCACCTCGATAATATACAATCAAAACTACTCGACTGAATTTTTATGTGGTACGAAGGAACGGCGGATATATTTTATTCTGTGCAATTGCTTAATGTCACAATTTTATTTGTTCTTAATCTGATTGATTTATTGTAGAATGGCAGAAATAGCTTACCTTGTATAGTTTTAATGCTAATGGCATGCAACTGGGTCACGATCGTCTCTATGGTAATGATCGGTCAACACCGACAAAGAGATACCTGAAATTTAAATATATACGAATCTTTAATGTCCGATTATATAGTAAATATTTCAAGAAATGAAAATATCAATTACCATTTACAAGTTATATATATATTTAACAGAGATTTGCATGATAAATGATGCATCGGTTATGTTAAAAGAATTATTAAATGCTTAATATTTAAAAGTTTATGCTCAGTTTAATATATAATTTACCTTATATTCTATAGTGTTTTCTACATAAGGAATTTGTTTCTTAGAAATAAATTTTGCAAAATTTCACTCGATTATTTCGTCAAACATTTTTTAATATGCAAAATCGGTAGAAATATCTTCTCGCCCTTAGATTATTGTCATAAGAAATTGTTTAATAAGAGAAGAATATAGAATGCTTTAAAGGATTTCGGTAATGAAAAACGTAATAGCTTTTCGTATAACTAACTTTTATGGCTTCTGTTTGAAAAATTAAATATATTTATTTGATATATCTTCTCGAGAGTCGTGCCCTATGATATATTATTTATCTCGTTTTAAATATAAATTCTTTTATAATTCTTCTTCTCGATAGCATTTAAATCTAAAACTTGTCTCTGTTTTCATTAACTATTAGCCCCACTTTTCTACGAGGCCTGCATTTTTCAGTTGGATGCTCTTTTTGTCCCCAATTCTCTCATTTAATCGGGACTCGCTACCGTACTTCGTATGAAGTTAGACAAAGACAATTATAATTTTGTATTGTCTATGACTGGAGTTTTGTTGAGCTCATTACAATATTTTCACTCGGATATGTTGGGCCTTGTCCGTCGCCACTCAGACATCTTATTGCAAACCTGCTGAACCCATAACGAACTTGTAAAAAAGCCTTATTAAATATATGATACATACAAATAATATCAGTATATAAGATAAAAATTTGTCAGAGGCCAATAATAATTATTGATATTCCTATAATGGAGGTTGTTATTAAGGACTTCAATATATTGTCCTCACGTTCCACGGACAACCACAATAATATGTAAAGAATAACCTTACAAGAAATTAAAGTCAAACCTCAATAAAACACCTTTCCAAATAGTTTAGACATTGTAAAGAATGAATGAATACTTGTAAACAGATCTTTTCTATAAATATTAAGTAGAGAACCTTTCAGTATCTATGTTTTGCATTGAAAATGACATTGTTATTGCCAAATTACATGCCGTTTAAACTCCCAAATTCAAACTTTGATGTATACCTCGTCGTCATGTATGTATAATTCTTATTGTTCTGGGTTTCACTCCCTGCACCCATTGTACAACAATGTAATTATTGTCTCCTCCCTCCCAGGTATGAACTACAGTTGCTGTCGTATTAATAAATATCGTTCCTCGATCCAACCTGCTATTGTTTTCTGTGCAGGAACCTGTTTATCTTGAATTTTTTCCACGTTACTTTGAGTTTCGAGACAGACAGGTTCAACTGTAAATTGCATACTTTCATAAGAATGAAAGAGTTGCGTACAAATCAAGCTCAAAGCTATTAGTTTCAAGTGCTCATTTTAAAAAAAAGGATACTCTATTTTCATATAGTAAAATATTCTTACACCTTTGGAAATATTTAATACAGTGATTAAAATAAGTTTCATTACGTATAGGATATTGTAAAATCACAAGTTTAACATATAAACTGACAAAATTTTGCTCCACGCTCACACACAAATAAGTAGGCAAGACAACTGTTTAGTTAGGAAAGGCAGAAATTTGTAATTGACTGCAATTTTTCATTTATTGATGACTCTGTTTAACATACAAACACACAATCAACGGAACAGGAGAACATAAACACACAGCAACACTTAAACTGGAAGACTCAAAGACGACAATCAAGTGACATTCTAGAAGGTAACACTGCTTATTTTTCAGTTTGTATCTGATAACAGCCAGTTAAGAATGTCAAAATGTTACTTAGTTGTAAGTTATTGCATGGTTAAAGTTGTCTTTGATGTAGAACATAATTAAAACACAATAGAATTCCTTGTTTTTAAACGAATTCATCAGTTTTTCCCCACTGAATGTTTCTTTTCCTTAACTCTCTGCACTATCAGCACGAGTAGGACCATTGTGGATTTGGCTAGATCCGCGGTGGGACAGTTGAGTGGCGAGAGATGGGGCTCAACATCCCTGGGGTGTACCATCCCCAAATAATTTCTGGAATGAAGGCCTGATTATATCTTGATTCCAGGAATTGTATGCCCACGCCTTAATTACCTTAGCCAGCCTTTTTAAACTGTTAAAGTAGTGTGCTAACGACAAATTTATTCACACATAAATTATCATATATAGGAATTTAATTATAGTTTTAATTACAAAAAAGTTAATGATTTCTTTATACCAGTATCTTTCCTGGTTACAGGCTGCAAGTGAAATTCATGGGCTTGTGCTAGCCAATATACTTTTCTTGTACTAGCCAATATACTTTTCGTAATTTAATGGAACATGTTGATATTCGGCTGGCTTTAAGCCTGCCGAATATCAACATGTTCCATTAAATTACGTTCTAAAATAATGTATGCTAATAATACGTAAACTAGTAATATATAGTTTACTCTCATCTTCTCACTGGTCAAATTTAGTCACGAATATTAGCTTAATTATGGTTGCATAATAGCAGGAGGTAGAAAACTGAAAAATAAAATTTCATTGCCAAGACCTCGGGACTTTATATCGAACCTCGTGGGTCGCCGATGGTTTGTTCTTACAATATTTCTCTTGATAAACAATGTCTTCTGCCTATTTTTTGATGTCATTTTATTTTATAAGGCAGTTACAGAGTAAGAGTTATAAAAAAATTTTTTCTGAAATGATATTTCATAATTTTCTCATTTATTTTTAACTTCTTATAGGGTTAAATTTACTTTTTGACCATTAATTGTCACAGTATTTAGAAGCATCATTAAATATATATATATATTTGTTTACATCTCAAACTCTAGATAAAACAAGCCATATTTCCCTATCTCTTGAGCTTGAGAAACAATACAATTCCTCTCTCTTTTGACTGAATTTGTCTCTTGATCAGAATTGTCAGGGTAATTCAGTAAAAATTTGTAATGGAAGAGGTCTTTAAAAATGGTCAAGGTATTAGAGGAGGTGTTCTGCTGTAGGGCAGTTCTCAAATTATGGTCTATGGACTACTGGTGGTCTGCAAACATGCACTGGATGATCTGCAGGCTGATCTATGGCCATATTCATCAACAAAGCATTGAGAATTAAAGGTAAAGTTATCAGTTGGCATTCATTGGGCTGCAATTTGAGAAAATTGTAGACCTATAAATTCCCAGTCGTCCGTCCGTCTATCTTTCCTTAATCTCGAGAACTGAGTTAGATAGATCACAGACACGACTCTTTTGTTAACAGAAAAGTATGATGTACTGTAAATTGGAAAGCCATTACTAATTTCATCTGCGATTCACTTTAATTGGTCCACAGATTGAATAACTAACATCCACAGATCTGGGATATTTTTGTATTAGGTTTGTCCCTTACCATTGGCTACTCCATTGTGACCTTAGCTAAATCTATGATGAACACGAGCAGTTATTTATTCTGACATTGTCGTAATGCCTGGCTATAATTTTTAATCATATTTTAAATTTATTTAATTTAAAATGTATGCTCTTCTCCTCAAATTAGTAGTGGCTTGCCCCTGTACGTCGTACTTTTCCTTTAACAATAGAGTCTTGCGGATCATCTACTCTTGTCTCATCGATCTAACTCCATTTTGGAGATTAAGGAGAGACAGACAGACAGACGACAGTGGAAATTTATAGGTCCTCTTGCCGACAAAGCGGAAAGAATTACCAAGTTATAATTTATAATTAGAATTTCTTTTAAAATATAATTTTGTTTTATAATTTGTGTATTTTAATTCTAACACACACACGCAAGCTGTTTTTAATTACATATTCTATAAATAAATTCTTAGAAACCATTTTTTAGTAACAATTTCAAGTTAAAGAATGTTTCTCTCATGCCAGATGTCGAAACATTCTCTTCAACTTGGAAAAAATACATAGAGGGAAAAAAGTCAATAAAATACTTTTTATATGAGATTTTTCCAGATATCTCATATAAAATCTTTCTTTATTCCTCTTACAAAAATGTCTGAAAACTTCTCTGTTTGAGAAAGTATTAAAAAGCTGGATTTGTTTATGGTATTGTTTCGCATAGGGATAAACTATTATCTTGACAATGATAAATTTAATTCCGCTAGCGGGTGATTTTGCAGATTTTAGGGTTGTTCTGTCTAAGGAAGGGAAGACGGCAACAATACAGGCTTTGAGATGGATGGGTGTCGACGCTTCCCTGACACTTTGAGAGTCGCAATGCTTGGCATAGGGACGCATTCGGGTATCCCTTCCTCTTCGCCCAAACAGAGAATGAAGAGAAAGGGAGATACAGATGTAGTTCTTGTATTGTTCTATCACTAGCTTCAAAACTGGATTTAGACTCGTGACACTACAGCACACAACAGGCCCTTCTTCCACTTAAATAGAGGGTGAACAGAAAGTGAGATAAGAGAAAAATGAACAGATTATTGCATTACTCTAACTCTAGTTACAAAACCGGATTCACCTTAAAACACACAAGAGGCCCTTCCTCTTCCACCAAATAATAATGGGCATTATGTATAAACTGTCTATGAGAATAGGAAAAAAAGGCCCTAAGTCTCCTCATATAAAAATGCCACTCTGATTGGGTATGTTTTTTATTTGGTTTATTAGGTAATAAGTATAATTTAATAATCACTGAAAGATAATTCAAAACACACAAAGCTCTACAGTATATAATTATTATTGAAATATCTGCGTTAGTATACGGAGTGATTTTTTTTTAAAATAGCTCTTCGAAAGTTGAAAAGAATTTTTCTTCTTCTTTTTTTTTTAAATGAACATCCCCCTAATGATTTTCGATAGAGCTCTTGACATGAAGTTTCTTCTCGGAAGAGTAAAAAAAAAAGGCCAAGAAAGAAAAGAAAA